CTATCTATCTATCTATCTATCTATCTATCTATCTATCTATCTATCTATCTATCTATCTATCTATCTATCTATCTATCTATATATGAACTGAATTTTTGTAAAAAATATATGCATATTTTTACACCAAATTAATTTAAGGGGGCTTTAAAATATTTTAGGGGGGCTGGAGCCCCCCTAAAAATTGAGTTATTCACAAAACATAATTCAAGCACAGAGGGATAATGTGAGATCTACCCTTAATACTTTGCTACTTGCTGTCATAATCAGCTGTGTCTGTCTGTTAGCAAAACATGTCATGAACTACTGAAAAGATTTTTAAAAATCTCTCAGAAAACAATCACTGAGTATACATCTACAACTGGTTAACGTTTGGGGTCAAGCCAGTTCAATATGGCCGCCTCAACAACATAGAGGGTAATTTATCATGGAGGAAGTATTGAGCTCATTTTGGTGTAACTTTGAACAACTCAGGTTTCCCTCAATTCTTTTTTTGCACCAGATTATGACACCCCCTTTTTTTCATCACTGTGGTTTTAAACATTTCACAAAGTGCTGCTTGTTCTTTCTTGACCATACTGTCAGAGTTGAGCAGTTGAAGAGCAGAAGAGAGGTGTGACCTGTCCAATATGAAAAGACAAGACAGTGTCTGTGAAAAGAATAAAAGAGGAGAAACAAAAGGATCAAACGAAACAAAAAAAAAAAAGGTTTGGTAAAAAAGTTAACAAAATTGTTATCGATTACAGGAAAGCTCTCGGTCTGTTTTCTTGTCGAGTTTGGCTGCTTCCTGTTTTTGACTGCTGCTTTTGAAACAGATCAGTTCCTTTGTGACTCACACAACCACAAAACACTCACACGCACACACACGGTCAAGTACAGCTATCTTCGTAGGGACATTGCACTGACTTCAATTACTACAGCCTAACCCTGATCTCTTAAACATAAACCTAAACTCACGGGCACATACCTGACCCTGACCTAAACTTTAATCAGACCTGAGCCCTAAACCTAACCCCTGACCCACCAACCACATTTCCCCCCATAGGGACTAGGCTTAGGTCCCCATAAGTGCCTGCTGGTCCCTACAAGGAGGTGTGCATGCCAAAAATGGTACCCACATAATAGGGAATACCCGTGCGCATGCGCGCGCACACACACACACACACACACACACACACACACACACACACACACA